CCTAAACACGAAACCCTAAACACTAAACCCTAAACCCTAAACCCTAAGTGCTTTTTGTAGCTTCATCGGTAAGGATGGAAGGGGTTTTGTGCTCGGTTGCCTTCAGGTTGGTAGCGGCCCAACGTAGGTTTTTTTTTATGTCTTCAAAAGCAAGTGCTGGTGGCCGTACCTTTCCTCCCCATGGACCTTGAAGCAAACCTCTAGCAACCCGAGTTAAGGCCTGCCCCACCCATGCGCTCCCACTATAAACCCTAGGCAAAACCCGAAACCCAAAACGCAAGACCTAAACCCTAAACCCGAAACCCAAAATTCTAAACCCCTAGAGTCCCACACCTTAACCCCTAAACTCCTGAACCCTTCAAGCCAGACACCTGGCTGCCTCTGCTCAGGTGGCTTTAATGCAAACGGATCTCACGTCCAGCCTTACGCGGAGCTTCTTGGTTCGGGTTAGGAAGGGGCCTGAATACTTCGGTATAAGTAGAATAGGGTTTCAGGCAGCTGTGTAGCATAGTTTTACGCAGGAACTGTAAGGAATCATGTTGGTAATTCTGCAGGCTTCTTGCAAGGGTTCACAAGGGCTAGAGGAGCGGGTTATGAGTTGTGTAGTGGGTGTTATAAAGGTTTTGTGCAAGGGTTTTCGAGGGGCGTTAGGGCTTAGATGGCTTTGGTGCTCGATTCGCGGGATCTTGCAGTTTAGAGCTGAAGGCTTTGTAAACGCTTGTGCGTCTTTGGATATCCTAAATTCCTCAAGCCTAATGTAGGGGCCTTAATAGTTAGAATAGCGTATGGGAGGTACGTTATACTACAATGATAATGAGGAACTCCCAACACCCAATTCTAATTATTAAGGCCCCGACATTCAACCCTTAATTTAACGGGGGGACTGGGAAGCTGAATAGCAGCGAGAAGCCAAGGTGAAGCTCTTAAACCCCTGATTTGGGGCTTACTTAAAGGATCATGGGACTTAGTAAGTAGGGTTACAATTAAGGTAACTGCACTTATAAATACTTATAACCCCAAATTAAGGGACTTATAACCTTACTTACTAAGTCCCATGATCCTCCAAGTAGGGTCTAAACTCTCCTGAATCCAGGCCCGGCTTCTTTCAGACCGGCGCCACCCTGGCCGTCAAGTGCGAAGTGAGCCGTGGCTAAACGGATTCCTCTAAGGGATCTATGGGATCCTATAAAGGTTCCTTTAAGGGATCTATGGGATCATCTAAAGGTTCCTTTAAGGGATCTATGGGATCCAATAAAGGTTCCTTTAAGGGATCTATGGGATCCTATAATCTAACGGACTTGATCTATGGGATCCTATAGTTATAAGGGTTCCCTGAAGGGATCTAGTCTATGGAGCCGTTCCAGGAATTGCAGGTTCTGGCTTTTCGCCAGTAGCCGCGAAACGAAAGGTGTCGGGTCTGGTGTTTAGGGGTCCACCTTGAAACCCTAAACCCTCAAACCCTCAACCCTAAACCCTAAACCCCAAACCCTAAAGGTCTTCAAAAGGTCGTCAAAAAAACCTTAAGCCCTAAAACCCTAAACCCTAAACCTTCTGTTTGCGACAT